TCTGTCTAATAGTAAAGATGATATCGCTCTTCTAGATGCCCATCATTCTGAGGAAATTTTTGATAAATATATTATTCGGGTTGCAGGTAAGAGTTTTATAGTAATTGATCATCCATTCGAAGTTTATGAATTACCCGATATCTATAAGTACATTGATAGAAATTTGCCTTTCCGCCTAGTTCTAGATATTGATGCGAGGCAGAACTCCGATCCTATGAATCCTGAACTCCCTTCTTTAGATAGAAGTAAAATTTCTCATAAAGATTTATTATCCAGAATCTTAATTGCCTGTGCTGATATTATATACTTTGATTTAAAATATCTCATAACTTTAAATGCTTTTATCTTAGCTAGTTCGTCTAATGCCGATAAATGCAGTTGGCATATTGTATATAATTATGCATGTTTTGTTGACTACAGAGACCTTAGAGGATTTGTAGAAAAAGTCGCTAATAGGGTTGGAAAACCATACTCGGAATTTATTGATATTGGGCTATACAAATCTCATTTTAGTCTTCGGCTTCTTGGATCGGCAAAGGAAGATAGAGTTAAAAGACCTGTGGTTTCTTCAGTTAAACAAGGATATCACAAGCTAGAAGATTATTTAGTTCAACCTAAATCTGATTATTCTGAAATCTGGCCACGGACCTTTTCTTTTGAAAAGCCAGAAAAAGATGAATTTCAACCTATCGAAGATGAAACTGCCTTAAGCAAGAGAGCTAGTTTAGTTATAGCAAAATATGAGTGGTTTAAAATTGGCCATATTAGAAAGAGATTTGTCAACTTCCAAGCAAAGTCATATAAAGCATGTCCTATTTGTGAAATCAAACATGAAAGAGATCAATTATATGGTTTTCTTCGAAGTAACGGCTATTTTGTACTTAAATGCTATCGGCAAAATCAATATAAGCCAGATTATAAGGGATTAGCATTTGGAAAAGTGACTGAAATTTCTGCAAAACCTAAGAGAGGAATAGTCGAAAGAATAGGTGATGCTATATCAAATCCACATCTTCTTGTAGAATTATCAGAAATGATGATTAATGTAGAAAAATTAAAAGATACTCCAGAAGTATATACCGATTTCTTGGGTATTGAGAAAACAACAACACTTATTCGTTCTTTTCCGGGAACATGGAAAACCACTGCGTTAAGAGAGAATATTATAGCATTGAAAGATAAAGTACATGATATTTCTTCCTTACCATGCTATATCTAAATCTCTTACCAAAAGTCTCTTAGCAATGAATCGAAATCCAAACTTAATGAGTTAAAAGCATCTGGCTTCTGAATTTGCAACTACCAAAATATACAAGGAGACTTATCTATAAATGAATAGGATATTATCATAATACAGGTTGAGAGCCTGTTTCATATCGAATTCACAGCCTGTCCGTTTGTAGCTATTCTTGATAAAGCTAATACCGTTATGCGCCAAATATCTAGTAGTACAAATGCACGGGAATCTGAAAATGCAATGCGTGATGTCTTAAGATCTGCAAGACATGTTTTGGCTATAGATGCCTTTGCAAATAAATCAACATTAGCATTCCTTAAGATATATCGTGGTGAAGATATTCGTATAATTGATAATAGATACCGGCCTCGTATAGGTGAGACGTTTGAATTTATTTATGATTCAAATAGTGGAGCAGAAGCTATGCGAATAGGATATAACCTTTTGAAGCAGGGTAAACATGTGGCATTTGTATCTACCGGAGCAGTGATAGCTAGAATGTTAGTGGAAAAAGCATCTAAGTTGTCTAAACCTGATAATTCACCTGTTAGAGTCTGTGCTTATTATGGAGATATGGATGGAAAACAACGTCAAAAAGACTTTTCTGATATTAATATCACTTGGAGTGAGCTTGACTGTATAGCTTATACAAATACAGTGGAGGCAGGAATATCATTTGAGGTTACAGGTCACTTTGATATAGTTATAGCTATTACAAACATCACTACTCCAGTTCATGTCGAAGCTCTTGCACAAATGCTTTATTGAATTCGTGATTGTCCTCGCCGTATTATTTCTATATTCTATCAGAAAAATTCTAATAAACTTTTTCACCCACCAGGTCATTAAAATATTAGGGCAGAACTTGAAAGTGCTCGGCCTAATAACTTACCTACAGCAATAAAAAGTCATCGTGAATGGGATAACAATACCATTTCTTATAAAATTGATGAATCTCCGGCTGTAATAATATTTATTGAAGTTGAGCATCAGAAACGCCTTTCTGCGAGATACTTTATTGAGAAGCTTTGTAGTCTTATAGCTAGTACCAGCGCTTCTTTCCAACTAATAAAAATGGATAAAAGCCGAGAAGTTATAGGGAACCGTAAAAGAATCTATAATGAGGTTAGAGTTGAAGTATTAGTTATTAAAGAAATGGATTTTAATGCAGTTGCTACTTCTCGAAATCTTAGCCTTGAAGAAGCTGAAGTTCTTAAATTCGACCAAGAGTGCTCTATCGCAGATACTATGGCACTTAAACGTTTTTATATGCGGAATCTTTATTGCAAAGACATGAGTATTGAGGATTGGGATAATATTTGCAATAAAAAATTCATTAAAAATTTTAGTTCGCTTGAAGCTTGGAAGCATTTCTTACGATTGTCTTATTTCCGAAAGCAAGATCATGATGAGGAGAATGCAATGAAGGGATTAAAAACTGAGGAAAATATACAATGGGAAATGGCCTGCCATAAAGCCAAAGAAAATCTGGAAAAATCAGTGGCAGAAGACTTGCATAAATCTTATTCAGTAAATTATTGGAAGGCTATAAGAGAACTCCTTCAAATATTAGGCTGTACTGGCATTGATGATAAACGTATCCTTTCTGGTAATATTGTATCAGAATCATTCGTGCAATCCTGTGAAAGATTTATAGAAATTCGAAATCAGTCTTTATCACTCTTTGGCTTTAAGTCTTATGCTAAGACAACATCAGATCTTAATTTAGCTATAAAGGCAATCAATGCAATTGCTAGTAATTGGTGTAGCTATACTGTTAAGAGCAATCGAAAAAAAATTGGGCCTAAAGAACAGCGAGTTTGGGAATATTCATACAAAATTAATCGCCAACCATATAATGGTACTGGTTTTGGAGATAAAGGCATACCATAACTTCTACCATATAGACTAAATACAGATAACAAGGTCCAGGAACTCTTTGATTCTATAAGATAAGAAAAATCGTTATTCAGCTAGGTATCTCAACCATATCTGATTCCATTTTATCTTTTTTACCTTCACGCCAGGCTTTCTTATAAATTTCACCATGTGTGCTACAGATTCCAGTCTTGGCATAGATTAGCTTATTACAGATAGGGCATATTGTTTTAGGACGTCTTTTATAGTGTATGGTACATCCTAATTCATGCCAGCACCCATTCCCACAAATCGAACCATCTTTCTTGATGTATTGGCAGGATAAACGATCCATATGAGTCGAACCATCTTTCTTGATGTATTGGCAGGATAGACGATCTATATGAGATAATTTTGATATTAATAATCTTAAAACTTCATCTTCACTTTTATTATAGATATTCAAAAATGCGATGCCAATCTGACAAACAGAGATTAGTCTAACTATTACCTATATTTTACTTACCACACTAAATATCTGAACTTACTTACACTATGAACATGATGCAAAAAAGAGTGCTCAACATTCTAACTGGTCGATGGATTGACCCAAATAGAAGGTTATTCCATAAGTTAATTCGTGAAGATTATAAATATGCTAACAGACTTTTTGATTATTCAAAAAACAGCAATAGATTCGTATTTGACCCCTTTTACGACTTCTTCTCAGTTCTAATTCCACCCTATCTATCATAGCGAATAGATCAGATATTTGTAAGAACTTTCCTATTAGTGTAGAATCTGTCGTTAGGGGTGGGGTGAGCTTATTCACTATCGAAAAAAATAAACAATCATCGCTCCAGAATTTAATCCAAATGAACTATTCTAGTGATAACTTGTCTATGTTGATAGGAATAATTTGGGAGCATGAAGAGACAAAAGCTTGGAGGAATAATATACTCATGAAATTCCTCTATCACCCGAATTTAACTCCTTTGAAACATAGAACAGGCGCTTTATATAATGCATTTATCAAGACAAATACTTTAGAACCGGAACATATATTAGCTCTAATACGAGCACTTGATTAAAATGCGATTATGAGAAAGCGGTAAGCCATTACTTCCTAGCTCTTTACGCAAATTAGAGACAGTATTTGCTTCTGTAGCACATAGGCTTAAAAATGCGTCAAAAACTAACACTTATGCTAGTGAAGCCCTTTGGCATTCACCTGATAACCATACTTCTCTATCTAAGAGATACACTATAGTCAATATGCGGAAAAGAGGAGAACCATATAATCAGGCAAAGGCATTCGAGCTCTTCGATTAAAACTGATTGCATAGATGAGCTAAATATTATTTATTAAATTTTATTTTTTTATTCGCCTAAGATATATCATGCTATAAAAGATCACGAAAATGACAACTGATCAAAAGCATTCATCGGATGGTACACTTAACGAGCCAGAAGATACCAGACGTATAGAAAAAATTGCTAAGTTATTTGGATTAGACGAGCAGAATATAGAAGTATATAAAGCGCTTTTTGGACAGATTTGGGAGCTCGAAAAAAAATTGGAAGATTATTATTCCAAATATGAAAAGCTTAAAAGGAGGGTCAATTTATTGAAAGCTGAAATAGAAGATTTGGACGAATATGTAGATAAAGAAACTTTAGTCGACTTAATACAAAAAATGGTTCCATCACTAATTATTAGAAAATATAAGAAGAGAGGTTTGCTTTGTGAGCCCCTAAATAGATCTGACTCTAGTTTATCTGACTCTAGTTCATCCGAAGATTCTGAAATGGTTAAATGCTACTATTCTAAAAAAAAAAAAAGGTACCGCAGAGGAATCAGGTAAATACAGATTCTAAATCTGCAAAGTTTAGAAAAATATATAATGAGTTAATATTTTCATTAAATAAACAAATGGATGGTTTCTTGGAGGACCACGTAAATGAACCATTGTCACATCATCCTATAAAGAAATTTAGAAGGAGGAAGTCTGGAAGACCAGGCACAATTGTTAAAATCTCATCCAATCAATACTAGTCCGGAGCAGAGATCATCAGCATTACGTTGTTTTAAAGAATTTTTTCTGATTGAAATATCTTCTAACTATATAAAAAATGAATAGAGTTAATTTACTAGACCAACTTCCGCCAGAAACTCAGAATATTTTTTCTATTAAAAATATGACATAATTATATTAGCAATAAACATAACAATGAGAAGATCGTTTAGTGATATGTTTATAAGAGATACTATTAATTGGGTAAATCGGTTATCCCTTCTGAGCTCTCTGGTTTTAGAACCTAAAAAGGGTATACAAATACTAGCTCCCACACAAGGTGATAGCTTTGTAAGTGAATATATTAAAATAATAAAGCTATATGCTATTGCTATTGGCAAGGATTTAGATAATATAGATGTTAAAGTAAAATTTCTTTGTGGATTATCACCTGACAATGAAAAGCGTGTGAATAAGTTTGGTGTTAAAAAACCTTTAACTGAAATATTTGAATACCTAGTTAAGTCTTCTACCAATCCGAAGTAGTGATCACCAGCCCAGGAAATTTTTTCGTTTAAAGATATAGTATATAATATGAACTATTTATGGCGCATTTAAGTATTATAAATTTACTGGAACTATTAGAGTGGATTCTATATTTCTTAGCGGTAGATAAGTCACTTTATCTCGCTCCTTTTGTTTGCCGATTGTGGTATAAATGTACTGTTTCTAGCTTATAGAAATACATTGAACTAAAGAAGAATGATCTGAAATATGGTTATTATTCCCAGATGATTATACTTATCATGAGAGAGATCGTACTCGATAGAAAAAATTTATAAGAATAATGAATGAAAAGCATAAGCCAGCTTGTGTCTTGAATGTAACTCATCTAGAAATTACTTATTACCATTCACTATCGGATAACAAAATAAAAAGTATTGTGGATACCTTTCCAAATATAATTCATTTAGATTTCAAAGATAGCGTAGATTTTAGCAATAAAGCGTTATCTATAATAGCAGAAGCATATCCTAATTTGAAATATTTCAATCTGTGAGACACTCAAGCAATATCTGATAAAGACTTATGTGCAATTGTACGATCATGTAAATTAGAACATCTAAATATTTTGTATGGTGTATGTAGTCTAAAACCAACATCACGTGATCTTTTATAACTATATAAACTAAAAAAAGTTATAACTAATAATATTAATATTATAATAAAATTTT